GTTACGTGTTGAGCTCACAAGAAACCCAGAAGGAGCGAGGATGCTGCCTCTGTAATGATGTGTCTTAGCAGCCTCTTGCTTCTGCAGAGGGTCGGTGGTGGATTTGGAAGCCCACGAGAAGTTGGGGCTGGGAGTTGCTCCTTCAGTAGTCTTTCCCAAGTGGTCCTTGTTCTCAAACCTGCCACGTGCTGCTTGAGATCTGCACGTGCATCGTTAATTTGGTTGAAAAAGAGGAGCGTTGCAGGTGCAATGCATCTTTACAGCCTAAAATAGGTGCTTTTAGGAAACGGGAAAACCAAAAAAAAAGTTTGATTGTTTCCCACCAAGGGGATGTGTAGACCAAGAGCAGGGCACATGCACGCATGGCTCTACTTTGAACTTTCCTTCAGGTCAGCTCCATCTGGTATTTTTCTCAAAGCATTGGTTGATGAAGATGTTGTTCAGCTTGGGTGCAGTGCTGAAAATCCTTCAGGAGATTTTGGAGCAAATCTTTTCTTCAGCCAGGTCCCTGCCCAAGCAGATGCTGGTGTACGAGAGGCCCGAGTGGCTTAGTGAAGCTCTCCCAAGTCACTTCTCACGATACCTTGTGTCCAACATTTAAATCCCAAAATAATCATGTTTGAAAACCAAAGGTAAGGACGGGATTGGTTAAATATGAAAAACCACCAGGCGTGGGGCTGTGAGATGAGAACGGGATCAAAGTGTAAATACTACCTGGTGTTTCAGATGAGTAGTCTATAAAACACGGGGTCTCGTAGTCTGTTCTGGTTACTGGTTTTGTGTGGTTTAATGTTTGTTTGTATTTTTTTTTTCTTTTTGGTTGGGTTTTTTTTTCCCACTGGAAAATAATATTTAAAAATAAAGAGTACAGAGGAGTAATGTTAGCTGAAGACCTGGTAAACTGAATAGTCTTAAATAGGTTAAATGTGGGAAACTGGGTGGTCTAAGCTAGATCTGCCACCAAGGGGAAGAAAGACTTCTCATTTTTAGGAAACTATAATACGTGACTGATGAAAAGATCTAGGGAGATGATGGAGGAATGCACTTAAGAGAAAAGGATGATATTGTGTGCAAGAAAAATGTGGATACTGTCAAGAGAGATTTTTAGGGGAGGAGAAACGTTTCGCTGGAGTAGCCTCTCATAAGAGAGTCCCCTAATTCTTGGGGTGGCCAAAAAAGTCTCAAGAAAGAAAATACAGGGAACAATGCATTGGGAGGGAGATGTTTTTGATCAAATTGGCAGGTCTCTAGGCCATAAATTTTAGGGAAACTGTTAAAATGGTCTACAATTCTTCTTTTTTGGGAATGATTTCAAAGGGTTTTGCTGTTCTTTCTCTTCTGCTACAGTAAAAGCCCTTTGTTGGGGTTGGAACAAGGAGGACCTGGCACCCAAAACCTTCTAAGCACCCTGTGAGGCTTAAGGGGCTCCCCTCCAAGGTCGAGGGGCAGGTTTATAGTGAATCCTTTGTGCGATATCGCCAGCTCAGATCACTTCTTGTGTCTGTGGAAAACATTTTTTCCTCTAAAAGCACGATCCAAAATAGTTTAATTTTTCAGAGAATATCATGAGGTTGGTCCAGATGCTTCATCTTCCTCAAAGACAACAGTAAAACGGGGATAGAAACCTGACTTGTGGTTTGTCCCCAGTGCCGAAGGAGCTGAATGATGAGGTCGGAGGGTTTTGGCTCCTGGCTGTGGGGACGTGCCCTGTCCCCCACCACCTGGTGTCTTCTGCCTCTCCCAGCACCCGGTGACCTCCACCATCCCTGTGGGTGCTCCTGAGGAGCTGGTGGGGAAGTGGACGCATCAAATGGAGAAGCTTTTTAACGAGGTGAACCGCTACAGGATAAGGCCAGCGGGGTGATGGGAGGATGGGCAGAGCTGTGCTGGAAGCAGAGCCACGTGTGGGATGACTTTTTGGCTTTTCTTCCCTGAAGAAATGCGTGGTGAGGGTGGGGTGAGCCGGGAGGATCTCTTGGAGCTCAGCTGGAGGGAGGAGGGAAAGTGATTTCAGCTGAGCTGAAGCGCTGTGGCAAAGGCCGAGCAGAAATCTTCAAGATTTGGTCTTAAAAGGGCTGATTGGTTTCAGACCAGCCCCCTGCTCCTGATGAGCTGCTTTCCAGGTTTCCAGCAGGTCCTCGAGGTCACCACAAAATCTCACCCGTGAAGCTTGGGGAAACGGCAGCTTCGGCGTGTTCGGTAACAGGGAATTAATTACTCACTGACTTCCGTGTGATGTTGCATAAACGTGGTGGCTGGCGTGAGCGACCGACTGCCACTGTGGCTGTGCTGGCCGCTGTGCCTGAGCCTCGCTCTGCTCTTGCCGTAGGTGGTGCGATACATTAATATATGAAAGAAATGGGGAAAAAAACCCCCACCTTCAGTTTCGAATTTGCACCATAGATTCATGGGTAGCGGTGGTTCGTGAGTAGCTTCACTCAAAGATCTCGGTCATGCTGCCAAAGATGAGTTGCTGTCACGGTCAGGGGGCAGATAATCTGGGTTTTTTGTGTAGGTTTTGGGAGTCGAGGCACAGCGGGATTTAACAGATATCTAAAGTGCGGTCCCATCGGTGGCGGGGTGGGAGTGGGACAGCCCGTCCTGTCTTGGTTCTCCTGTGGCACCGCCAAAATTGAGAGGAGATGGGTAACACCATCCTGAGGGGCTCCCAGGCCTGGGAGAGGAGCTCAAAGGTTGGTCAGAGCTCCCTGCTTGTAGGTCCTCTGCAGGGGCTAGTGCTTAGCTCGATAAAAATTTTAATACTCTTCCCTGTTCTTGGTCTAACCTGTAGATCACTGGTTTCTAGCTCATGACCCTTCCCTTTCCAAGGGGAAACAGCTTTGGAGAGCACTGAGAAGATACATGACCTGGGAATGCTGGTTCCCAGATAGTTTCTGCTTCTGAAAAACTTTCATAAAATGTCAAATGAATTGTAGGTTCAAGCTGAAGCTTAACTTGATTGCAGGAGAAAGGCTCAGAGTTACACCGGACCCAGCCCTGTCCCTTACTGGGATGTTGGCGCCGCTGACAGCTGGATGTTCTCGGCGTAGGTCGGGAGCTGCTCGTCCTGTGCACCCCCTAATACTCAGTTCAGATCAAAAATAGAATTCAGAAACAAAATCCACGGGATAAATCTGCATGTGCGTGGTCACAAGAAGGTGGTTTTTTTTTTTTTTTGATGAATTTTAGCACTGTTGGGAAGGGCAGGACCCGGTGGGGAGCTGCTGGGTACATCAGCAAGGCTGAATTTTTGCTTAAGCCTTGAGCTCCAGCTTGTAGAAGACAAGGAGCAAGTCAGGCTACAGCTCCTCAAGGGCTCGTCGCAGACATTTCATAAGACCCCTTTACCTGAGGGCATCCTAAGGCAGCCTGGTTGTATAATACCATAGGAGCTGGAGAATCATTAAATTAGCATCAGGATTTTCTTTTAATTCATTTATTTTTTGTAGTAGAGAAGGTTGATGTCTGGTGCCTTGCTCGGGTGATCTTTGTTGTTGCGTGTTGTTTGTTTTGTGAATTCCAAATGAGATTTTTTTTTTTTTTTTTTTTTTTTGCTCAGAACAGTTCAAAGCAAGACCCTGTCCCTTCTCTGAAGTATTTATAATCCAATTTCAGACATAAAACAGCGCGGGCGTGGAGGAGGGAGGAACAGGCAGGGATAAACCAGCAAGGTTTCACATAGCCTAGGGGACGGGGGCGGTAGGCGGACATCTGAACGCTTCAGCAGGTCGGTGGCATTTGAGGATCCTCCTGGGTTTGTTGCCTGGGTGGGGATGCTCAGATGTAGCCTGGCTCGGTAAAACAAGCCACCTACAGCCAAAGCCCCCGGAGGAGGGGGGGCTCAGGCCCCCGCCGCAGCGCCCGGGCGGAGGGCAGCTCAGCTCTCCAGCTTTTGGGTTAACCAGCTCTCCTCTGGAGGCTCAGACCCCCAGTAAAGCTGGGAGAAAATGAGCAAAAAAACCCATTTTATTTTTTCCCCGACTATATAGACCGGTCTCATGAATTGTTATAACCCACACAAGCACTTTTTTTTCTGAAATTCCCTGATGTTTGTGGCTTTGCCTCGCTCTGCACCCACGAGTCAGTGGAAGAATTTCTGGCGTTTTGTCCCCTCTTTCTTTTTGCTAACACTAGAAATTGGTTGTTTCACTGCCCTCACAGTTAAGTAAATGTGATGTTTGTCCACGTTACGGTCCAGTACAGAAGCTAGTTGCACGCTTCCACATACCGCATCTGCACAGCGATGGGGGAAGACGGGTGCAGAACTATCCAGGGGGGACTTTTATATCTGAGCAATTGGGGTTTGTTTGACTTGGTGTTTGGAATAAACTCTTTGTCATCTGGTATTTGGATCGCAGTTTGCAAAAAAGTGTTGGCGGGATATGCTGGAGGAGTAGGAGATTTGCATCTTAAAAGCAGTATATCGCAATTTAACAGTAAATAACAGGATATTGCAAGATAATAGGTAATGCAAACCATTATAATTACTTGAATTAATCTCTTCTGTTTCCCAGGATGCTCGAGAAACCTTTGAGAACTACTACAGGAAACAGAGAAGAAAACAAGCCAGATTGGTCCTGCAGCCTCCTTCAAACATGGTACGATGGCCCTTTGCTTGCAGCGCCCAAACTTGCTCCGCCGAGTAAAAGGCGCGGAGGGTTATCTCTGGGCATGCTGTTGCTGGTGGGTGGTCTCTTAATTTATTTCCAATTGCTCTTGGCCGCCTTTGTTTTAATCTTCGCTCACTTTTTCTTTGTTGCAGCATGAAACTTTAGACGGCTACAGGAAGTATTTTAATCAAATTGTAGGGTAGGTGTTCTTTTTATATACATCCTCGCTAAATATGTGCGTGCGGTGTTGTTGAGGCACCCAAAAAGAGAGAGAGGAGGGAATGTTGATCTGTTTGAGGGTCCTTTAAGGGGAATCAAAACAGGAAAAAAAAAAAAAAAAAGGCGGTTTGGGCTTTTAAAGTGTTTTCAAGTGTATTTTATAGCACCCGTGTACTTTGCTGTGTCACTAGCGTGGAGGAACCTGCCAGCTCTTGTACCAGCAAGTGCATTTCTGGGAATTTGAGGATAAATAATCTCTGTGGACTATGTGCATCTACTTGCCTCACTAATGAGATGAACAGGCCCTCTGCCCTAATTATTTAATATTTGATAATTATTCTTTGATTATTTTCCTGGTAAAGGAGGTGATTCTCAAGCCTCTATTCCCATGAGCTGCTTATTACTGCGCTCTAATTTGACCAGAGTTTTCCAAAATCAGCCAAACTCTAAGAGGAGGCAAAAAATCTGCTAATCTAGCCCAGATAGGGTATGATGGATGTTGAAATTTCTTCAGCTAACGATAATAATTTTCAACCTCTAATTGCGACCATCACAAACGCAACATGTTGCTTCTCACCTTCGTACACCGCTCCGTGCTCCCGGACTGAATTTCCCTGGTGAAACAGAGCTGAGATTTTGTGTGTTGCTGTTTAAAATGTGCAGTGCCACGCTCGCTCCCTGAAAAACACAGTTTCCTTTTAGCCAGTACGTTTGATAACTGGGGATCGGAGCGAACTGATTGCCTTTAAATGGTTGTGAGTGTGTCGCGTGTCTGGGTGCGAGAGAGTATTTTTCCCTGCAGTGACAGTGTTTTTCCCTGCAGTTAACCAATTCTAACGTGATTGCTGCTGGCTGGAGCGGAGTTTAATCAGCGGTTCCTGTGCAAATAACGGGGTGGAGAACTCCAAGAGGGGAAATTCTGTCTTTGTATATACACAGAGTTGCATTACTAAGAGCAACTGTGTTTTAGCTCGCTCCTGTAATACATCGAAATATCCTATAAAGCACTGCAACATTAAAAATAGGTGAATAAAGTGCTTAGGGGTGGCTATATTTGATACAGATACCCGAGCTTGCTCTGGAGGTTTGTGGATGCCACGTATCCCCTCACCCAGGGTGTTCCCAGATTCACTTTTGATGTCTCTAAACCTGTAACTTTTGACCACAGTGCGATTTTTCTCCTCTCCATTAGGTTTTTTGTAGTGGAAGATCACATCTTGCACACAACGCAGGGCTTGGTAAATAGAGCCTATATTGATGAGCTGTGGGAGATGGCGTTATCAAAAACTATTGCAGCACTAAGAACACATTCAGTAAGTAAAAGCCTTGGGCTGCTCAACTGTTGCTTGAGTATGACTTGACATGCTGGAAATAATTGGCTTTTACAGTAGTAGTCTTTGTTTTGCCTCTTTGCCAATGACCCCGCTTAAAACAGTAACATGAAGATACGCTGCTCTTGCCCCAAAACCTTTCCTCAGCATTTATTTTTTTTTTCCTCTTGATGCGCCTCATTTCCTCGTACACAACTCTCAATGTTTTGGGAGACTCTAAAGAAGAAAATAATGATTTGATATTTTTCCCCGTTACTTCGCTGCTCACTTTTGAAAAGCACCAGCAGAGGGAGTTGGTTTATCCTGGAAAACTGGGGGGAAAAAGCATCAATTCGGCACGCTGAAGTATGACCCTGTTTGATATTCCCTTAAAGTTCATGGCAGTGAATAGGCTGCTATCAAACTACCAATCATTTGGGTGTAAAAAGACATTGAATAGATTTCTTAGTTTTTAATACTGAAAGAAGTTTGGAAAAAATCCTTATCGCTTTGGTATTTCTCTGCTCGAGAAAAAAAAAATAAAATCCAAAGCCAATTGCAAAAAATATACAATTTTTTTTCCAGTTTTGTGTGACCTGGTATAATATTGTACTGCTTCAGCTGAAAGCTGTGTTGGTTATTGGGATGAAAAAATTGCATTTGACCATAAAAGGGAAAGCATTAATGACTTTCCACAAGTTCGTGTTCAAATTGTTGGGCCATTTTCTCCAGGAAAAAAGAATATTGAATCACTGCTGCTCCTGGAAGGCAGGGCCAGCTGAGAGCCCGCGCGTGCTGCGGGGTTGTGTCGGTGCGGGACGTGCCCAAGTCATAACGGTGGCCTTGCTCTTTGCTGAGAAACCCCTCCAGTTTCTGCCTGGAGCCACAATATGCTGCTTCCTTCAGAGCACCCTGAGTTTTGCATTTCTGTGCTCCTGGGGATAATCCAGGTGGTAGACCTGGAGCTTGTTGGGATGAGGGACCGCAGAGGCTTCCAGGGAAAGTGTTGACTGGAAAGCTGCTCCCTTCCTCTTAAACTTCTGTGTTACAACAGGGGATAAACACCGAGATGTACACCCCGTTAGGTTGTAAACCTGTGTCTATTTTCTTTTTAAGCAGGGTTGTCTGCTAGCTGAAAGCCGTGAGAGTAAGCCAGGCACAAACATGGCGTTTTCAATTCTACCGCCCTCTTTGCTATGACCAGTTGGTTTAAGTGATGCCAAACTTAATACGTGAAGTGGCTGCCGGGAGAGGGTTTGTTTTTTTTTTTTTTCAGTAATCAGGAAATATTACATAATTTCTCAGCGCTGTATTGTGGCCGTCACCATTATCTCTAAGCACTGCTCATCCCATATAGACCAGTGATGTCCACCCCGTGTTGCCGTTGAGTCTTGGTGGAGGGCCCTCACGTTGGTGAGGCTGTTTTTCAGCCAAACTTATCCCTGGATTTTTCTTCCCCTGCTGCAGACAGGGACATCTTTTATCACTTCTGATAGCTTTAGGGCATTATCTTTCTTTCTGACTTTCTTTTTTGGACAGTGAAATGGAAAATGTGTCTCTTCCAGTCTTTCACATTGATTAATGGAGTCATTCCTCCTTGAGTTTCCAGTGAGCTTTAAATCTGTTTCTCTTTCCAGCTTATGATCACTGATTCTATATTTGGTAAGACTCTGTCTGAAACTTTACATATTTCAGCATTAGGGCAGTTGTCTGCTGCATCCAGAGAGCACACGAAGCCTGTGGGTAACGTGGGGTGACTCTGGGGGGACGATCAGCCCTGTCACTACACTGAGTTGTGTCTTGAGGGTTTTGAGCAGTGTCCTGACCCGCAATAAATACTTATATTGTCGCTCTGACCATTAATGTTGCTGAAATATAGGCATGCAGCCTGTTTTTCTCAGCCTGAACCACTTAGCAATGCAGCCTCTGCACGGGGCCCGGGGATGCCTCGCTGCGATGCTTCATTACCGTCAGACACAACACACTAAATATTAAATGAGAGGCGCTGCTGTCGTCTTGGTATGACAGCGCGTTGATTTGCTTCATCTCCTCTCGCTTCCCCGGCAGCTCCTGGGTAATCTTAGAGACACTTCAGGTATCTCTAGAGCAACCAAAATCCTTATTCATCATGGAGAGCCTCAAGAGCGGCGCGTTACGAGGAGAGATACCCTTATCAGCATGCCTTCCCTCGCCCTGTGCAACGTTAGGGCCTGGCTTCAGGATAAAAGCTGCAGATCATAAGACTACACGGCGTGCCTATGTATTTATTATCACTCAAGTGATAACACGGGAGCGCCGAGGGCAATATTTTTCCCGCGTGCTGCAGTTAAAAACGTGTTTTAATTTCTCCCCTTCTTTGCAGTCCTACTGCTCGGACCCGAGCCTGGTGTTAGACTTGAAGAACCTCATTGTCCTCTTTGCAGACACACTCCAGGTATGCAGATGTTGGCGACCGCTCTTGGTCTTGCTCAGTGGTTGTGCTGCTCACAGACGGTGTCCGTCAGCGAGGTGAAATGCCTGATGTGACCTTGACTTCTTTTTTTGGCATGGTGGTGCACGAATTGCGGTGCCCAATGGACAGCCTGCTTCGCACTGCATGCGGGGTGGCCAGCCCGAGGGTGAGGACCAAGCCTTGGCCACCTTGCCAAGCCCTTATGCCTCCGGCTCGCACCCAGCCCAGCCTTTAATAGCCCTCGGTCCTACTACCGCAGTAAATCACTGCCTGAATCCTTCCACCAGCAGCATCCACCTCTGTGGTGGTGGTACGGGAGAATTGGCCCATGTGCTCCCTATTAAGTAGGGAAAATAATCTTCAACTGCCTGTTAGTGGCTTTTTCTTATATGAAGTTTCTCTCTTCTCCCACCCTACTGCAGGGATATGGCTTCCCAGTGAACCAGCTCTTTGACATGCTCTTGGAGATCCAAGACCAGTATAGTGAAACCCTGCTGAAGAAATGGTCAGGAGTTTTCAGGTAAGAAGGTCTTTATAGAATCCCAGAACCATCTGGGTTGGAAAAGCCCTTGCAGCCCCTCCAGCCCCACCATGACCCTCCCCCTGACCGTTCCCAACTCCCCCAGATCCCTCAGCGCTGGCTCAGCCCGACTCTTCAACCCCTCCAGGGATCCCGGGGACTCCCCCCTGCCCTGGGCAGCCCATTCCAACGCCCAACAGCCCCTTCTGCACAGAAATCCTTCCTCAGAGCCAGCCTGACCCTGCCCTGGGCAGCTTGAGGCCATTCCCTCGGGGCCTGGCGCTGGGGCCTTGGCTCCAGAGACTCATCCCCCCTCTCTGCCCCCTCCTGGCAGGGAGTTGCAGAGGGCCAGGAGGTCTCCCCTCAGCCTCCTCTGCTCCAGACTGAACCCCCCAGTTCCCCCAGCCGCTCCCCAGAAGACAAAATCTTTAAGCAAACTCATGAGATGTACCTTAGAGAGTAGTTTTGGCCCGTAAATAAAATCTTTTGGGAGATTAGTAGCAAGCTTATATTTAAATTTTGGGCAGCAGTTAAGCTTCAACCTGGGCTCTTTGTGGACCAGGGAGAGGCAGTTTAAATTCAGTTGTGAGGATCCTGTGTGTGGTGAGATCTGTGCAATACATCGGTGTGGAACAGAAGTTTTCCATCCAGGAGGATAAGGTTATGTGTTCATTACCAAGCTCACGCTGCCAGTCCATGCCAGAAGCTGCTGTTGCTGCAGCGTTTCTGTGCCCTTTGCTCCGGCACTGAGCCGCGTGTGTCTTGGGACATCGGTGCCCTGTCTCTGCTGCTGCCACATCCACGTCTGTGAGCTGAGCAGTCACCTGCAGGTAGGGCTGGATATTTTATCCCGGGCCCCACACTGTGCTCTGGAGCCACTGGCTCGTCCTGTGATGGTCCTCCCGACATCCCAGGAGGATCGAGGAGTCTCCGAGTGTGGGACACTGAGAAGAGGTGCTGGAGGATAATGAGGCTGAGGAGGGCTGGAGAATCAATCCTGTGAGGAGCCAGGGAAGGAGCTGGGAGTGTTCAGGGTGAGGAGGAGGAGGCTGAGGGGAGCCCTCATCCCTCTCTGCAGCTCCTGACAGGACATTGCAGAGAGGCTGGGGCTGGGCTCTGCTCCCAGGGGATCAGGGACAGGACAAGAGGGAACGGCTGGAAACTGCCCCAGGGGAGGGTCAGGCTGGGCAGGAGGAGAAAATGTTTCCCAGACAGAGTGGTCCGAGAGTGGAACAGGCTGCCCGGGGAGGGGGGAGTCCCCATCCCTGGGGGGGTTTCAGGGCCGTTGGGATGAGCTGTGGGGGATGTGGGGTAGGGGAGAACTTTGCAGAGTTGGGCTGAGGGTTGGACTTGGTGATCCCGAGGGGCTTTTCCAACCTGAGTGGTTCTGGGGTTCTGTGATTGTCGGTGCCCTGGTAGCTCAATATCCATCTTCCTCAAATCAGGCAGGACTGAAGCTCAGCTGGGCTTTACCTGGGGCTGCTGAAGCTCCAGTCTGGACTAAAATTACCATTAAGCTCTGGCTGTGGCTTTACAGAGGCTGAAGCTGGGGAGCTGGGAGAGATCATTGAGTCCAGCTGCAGCAAAGATGATTTCAACAGTCACAAACATGGGGAGAAGTTTAGGCCCATGGGATCACATCTTAGACCGGGCTTACTTCTTAAGAGCTTCCTGACTGAGCAGTAAATCTGCAAAATTGTGCTTGGCCTGTCGTCACAGAGCTGTCTTTCTAACTTTTCTTTTCATAGAAATATACTTGATTCAGATAACTACAGTCCCATCCCAGTGACGAATGAAGAGGTTTATAAGAAAATAGTCGGACAGTTCCCGTTCCAGGATGCAGAACTTGAAAAGGTAACCTTGAAACTTGGGGAGCAGTACGGCATGGCAGCTGGGACAGGAACCGCCCCCCCCTGCCCCCCCGACCCTTGCTGGTGGCGTTGAGAACTGCAAACAGAAGCCTCAAAAACGAACCCAAACCCAAAACCCCAAACCAAATAAACAACAACAACAAAAAAACAAAACAGGGGAAAAGAACAAATATATTTCACTTGTGATGCATTTCTCCTGGTGTGGGTGAGGAAAGTGTGCATGGCAATACCTCATCGATTGTATTTTCAGCTCGCAGTGTACTGTCGCTGCTGAGCAGTGCTGGCAGTAGACAGGAGACTAGAAATATCTGCTTCCATTGGTGTTTTATTCCCATTTTATGAAATGCGTTATTAACCTTTGTTTTAATCTCCTATTTTTTTTTTTAAAAAAGCCCAACCAAGTGGTATATCTTGGCGTTTGCAGAAGTGTGTGCTTGCAAAACCTAAGCGTAGCCAAATTTGACCTAGCCAGTGTCCCTTAAAAGCCTGCTTGGCCTTCTGCTCCACATCTGGCAGCCAGCGAGCTCCAAGCCTGGTGAACTTAATTAGGATTGGGAGGGATTTTCACTCCAAGTCAAGCGTTTAGATTTCAGAGAGTCTGTGTCCTTCCCTCAGAACTGTATCCCGGGGTCCAGCTTAGTGCTCCTCTCTGCACCTCCCAGCCGTGTGTCTGCTACGAGCAAAAGCTGCTTGGAAAAATTTGGTGGAGGATGTGCGTTTCCTCTCGGCTTTTGGTGTCGTAAGCAAGTGCTTACCTTGGGCAGTGACTGCGGGAGGTGCCCCAGCAAAACGCCTTGTGCCCGGTGGGAGAGAAAAGTCAAGGACTTCTCCAACGGGGTTTTTTCATAGGAGTTAGAGAGTTGGGAGAGGGAATGAGGGTCCTGTGTGCTGCCTGCCCCCTCCTAGCTGCAAGTTTCCTTCCAGCCCGTTTCAGACTCTAAATCCCTTATGCACCCGCGTGCCATTTGTAAGTGATTATCTGGTCATTCACTTGGCTGAAATGTTTATATAATATACAATAAATGCTGGCTTGTTGTTTTATTTCTGGACTTAGCTAAATACTAAAATTAATTCGACTGCTTGGAACACGTTGCTGGAAAGCAGTCGTCACTCCTGTTAAATATCTGCTCTTCGATTTGAATTCTCTCCTGTATTTTACAGCAACCGTTTCCAAAGAAGTTCCCCTTTTCTGAGTTTGTGCCTAAAGTTTACAATCAGATTAAGGAATTCATCTACGCCTGCCTGAAGTTTTCAGAAGACCTTCATCTGAGGTAGGGGGATGAGCACGCTGATGGTTGTAACATGGAGGTTTTGTCTGCACTGAAAGATCTCAAAAGGTTTAAAATATAAATTTTGTTCTTCAGCTGCTCAACGGGTTGGATATACGGAGGCTGGAGGTGGCTGGTGGCCTCCTTGGAGTGGTGGCATCCTTCATACGCAAAGAGCTGGCCAAGTCTTCAAAAGTAGCTGTAGGGAAAGGTGGCCTAGGACCACATTAGCTGGATAAAAAGTGAGGGGCTTGTTTCCTCCAAGATATTTCTGAGTCAGTTGTACTAAATAGATGAATCTGGTTGTCTCGAGAAGGACAGTGATGTCCACTTGTCATCGGGTCAGTGCCTGCTATAACATCTGCAGCCTCCCCGTGGCCTCCCCCGATTGTCCCTCCAGGAGCGCGTTGGCAGGAAAACTCTTGAGGTTTTGATTTGCCCTGCGTGTTAATGAGTTTCGGCTGCTGGTTTAGGGGTTTTGTTTTCCTTGTTTCCCGTGGGAGTTTATATACAAATAATCTGATTTTTATTTTAAAACCTCCAAAATCTTACATGTGTTTACCCTCCCTTCTCCATCCCAAGGTGCCTTGATGCTGCTTTTGCCCGTGTGTATGTGAGTGAGATTGGAAAACAAATATATTCACCAGAAACTGCAAGTTGATGCTTTCTTTTTGCACCCAGTAATGTCTTGGTAGAATTATATAAATTAATAACGAGATTTTTTTGACTGGAAGGAGGGATCCTTCTTCCCTTCTGTTTGCAGCATCGTTGTAGGGAGAGCTTAGACTGGGGGGGTGGGGGAGATTTCACCTCCCTTGGCAGCTCCGTGTCCTGACCCTGGACGCTGCCCCAGTGCTGGTGCAAAGATAAGAGATAAGATCTGGGGACTCACGAGCTGTTTCAGCGCCTAGACGAGGCTCTTCAGGGCTTTAATCCTCCTCCTTTGTGCGAGGGATGGTAATTTGGAGAGGCCCTTTCTCTCCGTTTTCTGCTGGAGGACGTGGGAGCTCATTGGTCGAGGTGGAAGCAGAGGATGTTTCTCACCCCACGTTTAATCTCAACCTTTCACTGGTGGCAGGTTGTTCTCTTTGGTGGCTCCCAGGGCTCTTAACCCGTGGGTCACCATTAAACATCTCAGTTTCTAAAGCCGACAGAACGGTCCGATTTCACACGGATGCTGGTTTCACCGAACCCCTCCGTTGGCACTTCCCTCGTGAGTTTTGTGCTCTTCACCATTACGGAGATGATTGGGTTTGTCAGGGAAGGGAAGAAAAGTGTCCCCTTGGGTCCCTCCTCAGGGATCCCCCCGGACATGTTATTAAAATTCCTTTCGACATTGGATTTTCCAGGCCTTTTTGAGGAGGGGTGTTGGGCTGGGGGAAGGGAGCCCAGCGCTTGGCTTTTCTAGCCAAACATTTGGAATATTTCTCTGAAAACCCCTGTTGACACTTTCTTCATTTCACCCTGACAGCTTGAATTAGGTTTTATTAGGAAGCTTGGCTACAAAGCCGGCAGCAAGTTTTCTTTCTCTTCTCTTTCTTTTTCTTCTTTGGTTGTCATTTACCTTGCACCCTGGAGTGATTGGGGTCAGCCCGTCAGTCACGGGGGGCCTGAAGGTCATGACTACTGCTATGGGATACGGGACATCAGCTGTCATTAACCCAGACAGTTCGCTTAAATGCTCTGCGGTCTTTTCCTGAAGAACAGAGCCTATGGCAGAAAACGTAGCTTGGATTTTTTTTTTTTTTCTAATTATTTTTTTAAGCTAGCTCCTTGTATTTGTTGGACGAGAGTGTTCTCCTTTATGTTGATATTCTTGTGAAAGTTACTTTGCTTTTCAAGTATTTGAAGAAAATTTGGAGCTTAGTGTGCATTTATAGGGTTTTTTTGTGGTTTTTTTTTTTTTTTTTTTTTTGGTTTGGCTCTATTAATTTGATTAGGAGAAAGAAAATCTTTATATTTTCAGCAGTTCTACCTTTGTTAAAAACCATGTCTTTGAGTTCATTGAGGAGATGTCTTTAAAAGCATCCACCCGCTGGAAGACTTCTGCCACTTCCAGTGGAATTTCCCATTTGAAAGATAGGGAATATCTTTGGAAAGCAGTGGGTGGAAGGATGAGATGTCGGCTCTTATCTACCAGGAATTTGATTGTTTGGGTTTGTTTGTTTGTTTTCAAATAAAGCACCAATTCTGAAAGCACTTGGGATACAATTTTTAAAATGTTGAAACTAATTTAAGTACATGCTGTTATTCGAAATAAAATAAAAAATCGGAGGCTTGTATAACTAAATGAAGTAGGTCCCATGGAAGTCAACTTTAGGAGAAGGGAGATAAATGTATATTTGGGGGGTTGTTTTCTACTTGTGTGTTGAGAACCGAGACCCAACCTCTACTTCACAGTCAGGAGTTGGCACCGGGCAACTGACTGGTACCATTACTCCTTGCTAACTGGCCTCACTGGTCTGGGCTCTTGATGGGAGCTGCTGGTTTTAGCTGGGGGAGTCCTGGCCAAAGCAACGGCTAGCACCCATTGCTCCTGTTGCCACCCTCACCTCTTCTATTGAACCGAGGAGGATTTGGGGGATCACAGTCCAGCACCTGGTCAAATCTTGCCCTTTTTTTAATCCAAGGAATTCTTCTAGTTGTGTCCCTTACTCAGTGCGTGGTCCTCATGGGAGATGTCACAGATCCTTCTGCTCTGTTGGAACCCAACTCCAGGGGTTTCCAGGCTGCGTGACCCACCATGAAACTGAAGTTACAACCTGATTTTCTAGCTTATGCATCCAGCAAACAACATGAGAGTAGGAAACCTTTGACAGTGGTGCTTGTATACAGAGAAAGCTCTGTCAGAAGTGCTTTGGAGAAGTCAAAGCAGCGTAGAAGTGCTAAGCAGTATTATTAAGCACTACTTCTTTATGCCCTGGAGGTTATCATGGTTGAGAAGTTCCTGCAGCTGAATCGAGTGGTTAAAGCAAACCCTCAGTTTGCAAAATGTTTGGTGATTCAGCAGCCTCGTGCCATCGGCTGTGGCGTGGGGCCGAGGCCAGCAGCACCCCTCTCCTGCCAAGAGTGTGAGTATCTTGGGGCATACACGCAGCCAGACAGTTGCTGCCTTGTTTAATTTCGATGCCCTGATGACAGGTTGACGTTTGAATTAAAAAAAAAAAAAAAAAAAAAAAAAAAAAAAAACAGCGTGACCTATTTGATTGCTGTGTTGGTTTAGTGGGAAAAGCTGACCTCATGTCCAAACCCCCATGGCTTTCATCTGCCCTTTCTCAGGCTCAGTAGATGCTGGAAGCTCCAGCCACCAGCTCCACTTCCAACCTCACCATTCTGCACCTCCACCATCTTTGGGGACGGGCTCTGTGACTCCTTATATATTGAATTTCAAGATTTCCCAGGGAAAATCCTGAAAGGGCCGCAGTGCTTGTACAAAGATCTAGCTTGGTGTATTGTTTGCTCCCTGTGCAATTTTTTCTTTACCCCCCTGAGCGTGGGTCCAGCCCTTTTTTGCTCCCCAGCCCCTTTCCCTGGTTCCCACGCTGCTCTGGCAGCAGCAGGCAGCTGCCCCTGGTGTCACGGAGTCCCTTTGTACCACCCTTTGCTTTAAATCTCCTCGGGTGTCTTTTTTACCATCTGTAGATCGTCACAGGGTTCGATTTTTATTGTACTTTCTATATTTAACCATGCTATTGTCTGGTGGAGGGGACTGGGGACAATCTGGTTCTTCTTGGGGGATGATGGAGAGCCTGGGGGTGTGTGCCTTGTTGGTTTTGGTGTTTGTTTTTTTTGGTTTTTTTTTAAGTAAAACCTTATTTGAGAGTCCTACCCATGGTATAAAGACCAGAAAAATTCACTGGTTGGTTTCTTCTCTCCCCACATTTTGATTTCTATGCCACACTTTAAAAAACCAAATGCATCACCTTCGACCACACATCAAAACCCTGCGAGGAGGAGCCAAGGGGTCCATCAGGGATGTGAAGTGCATTAGCCCCACTCATCGCTGGCACAGGACGTGCTTCCCCCACGGAGCAAGAGGAAAATAAACTCACAGAGATCAGCAGTGATGATCTAGGAAAGACCCACACAAAGATTTGGCTGATGACACTGGATTTAAATTAATCAGGAGCTGGGTCCTGCCGAGCCGCTGGCCCTGCTCTGCTTGTGTCCAGCTGGGAGGGAGACAGTGGTCAACCCTTGGCAGGCATGTAGCTCAGAAAAGCAGACTTCTAAACATCAGGGAGAAGGAAATATTAGAGAAACCTGTTGGGGGGCGCAGCGTGGCGAGCAGCCGCTGGGCGTACGGGGAGTTGTGCAGCTGGGCTGTTCCTCGGAAAAGCTGCAGCAAGACACAGCCTTCTTGCTCTCGTGGAAATCCGAGCAGGACTGTGCTCAGAAATGCAAACGGGGAGCAGTATTTGCCACTTCTCCTGGGAATTTGGGGGATTTCAGTGCAATTCCTGTGCAGCAGCACAAGGAAGGTCCTGAAGAACTTGAAAAGTTGCGTTGACTGTGGGATGCGCATTGCTCGGGGAGGGTGAGGGGGTCTGAGAGGCTGCTGGGGCTACAGGGTTGCTCTTGGAGAAGGCTCAGTCTTGCTTCCCCAGCGTCAGGCACTGATGGGCCAGGGCTTGGCTCAGGGCATGTGCTCCAACGGAAAATAGGCACAGAAACTAAGTGTAGGAGGCGCAAGTCGAGTGTAAGAGTCCCCTCAGCTGCTTTTGCCCAGTTTAGATGCTGTAAATGTTCCATGGCATCTTCCTAGAGGAGCCACAAAGGTGATCGGGGGCTGGAGCCCCCCTGTGAGGACAGGCTGGGAGAGTTGGGGGGTTCAGCTGGAGGAGAGAAGGCTCCGGGGAGACCTTAGAGCGACCCCCCAGGGCTGAAAGGGGCTGCAGGAACGGGGGGAGGGACTCGTCATCAGGGGGAGGGATAGGACGAGGGGGAACGGGGTTAAACTGACAGAGGGGAGATTTAGATCAGATCTAAGGCAGAAATTGTTCCCTGTGAGGGGGGTGAGGCCCTGGCACAGGCTGCCCAGAGAAGCTGTGGCTGCCCCCTCCCTGGAAGGGTTCAAGGCCAGGTTGGACGGGGCTTTGGGCAACCTGGGCTGGTGGAAGGTGGCCCTGCCCGGGGCAGGGGGGTGGGACTGGAGGGGCTTTAAGGTCCTTCCAACCCAAACCAGTCTGGGATTCTATGAAATTTGTGAGGTTTGAGCTGGACAAGGGCTGGTAGCGCCCATCCCCGCACCAGGAGGCACCTCAGTAGCAGCACCCCAACATCCCCCACCTTGCACGCCGGCGCTGGGGTAACTGCAAAGTTTGCTTTTGTTTCTCGTGTCAATCCCTGCTTTGTAATCTGGCCCATTTGTCAGGTAAAACAGGAGAAGGAGCAAAAGGTCACGGGCTTGATTTACCGGGAGCCTTAAAGTTATTAACACTTCTCAGCCTTCCAGTTGGAAATTGTCTTTGCCCTCAGCTGCCTGTCACTGCACTGCCAGAGATAAAGCCCCGTGGTGTCAGGGCTAATGCAGGGCCAACGACAGATCAAAGGAGCCTGTGTTAGGGTGGGTTTTCCTTCAGAAAGGAGAGCTTACACCTCGCTGGTGTGCAGGGTGGAGGGGCAGCGGCGCTACAGCAGAAAGCCAAACTCCCAAACTGCAGCACCGCTGCGGTTGCAACCATCGGGCAAAGGGCATCAACACGTTGCAAGAGCTTCCAGTGTGATTTAGCTAAAGAAAAAGCTGCGAGCAGATTGAGAGGGGGGAGGTGTTTTGGGGGGTTGATTGTTTTTTTTTTTCCCCTCGTTGCAGGGCTTTCATCCCTTTCCCCTTGTGTGCTGAACGCGCGGAGCTCCCACATTGCGTGCAGGGCCACGGCTTGGCTGCATCACTTAGTGCTGATGCCACGGGCAGCTCTGACCCGGGCTGGACCAGCCCCTCTAAGAGGAGAGGCTCAGGGGTGTAGGTTTAGCACATTCAGTTTGTTTTTTACCAGAAAAAAAAAGGCCTAGATTGTCAGTATTTTGGTATATATTAGTACATCAGCATCTGAAAGCGTTGTACGGATGATTATGCATAAGGCATTGCAGGGTTGGGAAGGAGACTGGGTGATTTTCATTTTGTAGAGCATTTTGCAAACCTCTCTTTAAATTCTACTTTTCAGCTCCACTGAAGTTGACGATATGATTAGAAAATCTACAAATCTGCTGCTGACCCGAACACTGAGCAACTGTTTACAGAACGTCATCAAGAGAAAAAACGTTGGGCTGACGGAGGTAGGACGCAGCTTCCAGGAGACCCATTTCCAGGGCAGGGTGACACGAAGGGGGCTTGGTCCCTCAGAGCTCCTTACAGCACCTTTAGAGTTGCTGGTTTGGAGCATTATTATAAAATATGAAGTTGGAAAACAATCGTGGAGCTACAGAGCATTGCTGTACAAAGAAACTGCAAGAAAGAGGAAAGTTTTTTGCTGTTGCAGTTAGAATTGCCCCGCTTTGGAACTTGCAGAGAATTATATATCTGAATTAAAGTGGTGGGTAAAGGGACTTCGAGGAGTGCCAGAGAGGAGCCAGATGGGAGCTGGGAGAGGATAGGGGAGTGATCCCCATCTGTAGGTGATGTTGGAGGCCATTCCAGCACGCTGCAGCAGTACAAACTCTCTATTGCTATTTTCTTTTTGGAATTGATACTTTTTTTTGTTCAGAAAGTCAGATTTCTGAAAAGTTTAATGCTCGTAAATCATGGCTGTTTGGGGAGCGTGTGTGGTACCCGGGGCAGTTTGGATACCTTAGTGGGACCTCTGTGTGCTGTTAATAAATGAGTCAATATTAATACAGCTGCAGTTGTTTAATTGTGCTGTAGAAATGTGTCCTGTTCTCTGGACACCGTCAAGATCTTCTGGAGGTGAGTTTTGGGGAGTTTAGTGAGTTTATGGTGGTATGTAGTTACCCACGATGCTTCCTCAGCCCTTTATCTCCCTGTCTGGAATCTCTTTGCTCCCTGGGGGCAGATTCCTCCTCCCTCCCGCTCCTCCCAAGGCTCCCTCCACAAAGAGGAATGTAACACTATCCCGGCAGGATCCATCCCCCGAAGGATCCTTTGGCTGCTGTTGCAGACGTTCCCACGGCGCGGTTGGGTGTAGGAAGGGCAAACCGGGTGTGACAGTCCCCTCAGCTGCTGTTGCTGGGTTTGGATGGTGTAGGTGTTCCTTGGCGCCGTCCACATCGAGTGGAGGTGGTGCCTTTCCTCAGGCTAAGAGGGACTTCTTCACGTGCTTTGGAGCTGAAGAGGATTTTTGCAAGGAAAGCCTACGTAGAAAACTTGAGTTTAATAAAGGCATGGTGTGTCCACAGACTGGTGTTCATCTCCAAATCTTTTCTCTCATTTTTCCCTCCTGTTCCTTGCCACTTACCAAGGTACAACTAGCTCTCTCCTGGGATTATCTCTACCACCAGTCTTTTCTAATTTGCTTGAAGAAAAACTACTTTGAGCATCCTCATCCCCTCCTGACTCTTTTCTTTGTGTAACCATTGACCTCTTTGTCCAAATGGAAGCACGGAGAAGCATTTTCTTCTGAGTGTCTCAAGTCCTTCCTACTTAAGAAAAGACATTGATGTGATTATGTGGAGCTCAGGAATTAAAGAGCAAGTTGGAGAGTCCCAGATCATATACAAGCTTAGTTCTGGTGTCAAAAGTGATATATTAAGTACCTTGCAGAACTGTTACTACCCAGATTTAACCTTTGCACCAAGCAACACCATCCTTTCCTGGACTCTCTGGTGTCATCTTCCAAGCAGTGGACAAGGTAATACCAGGCTGTGTACCAACCTGCCTGGTCTGTTATCCTCTGTAGTTTAATTTTCATTGCCGATTTTTGGGACTACCTCTTAGCAGTGGATGTGGAAGTTTGTCACCAAGTCTGCTTCAAATAATCCTGGTGTTTTGAGTAACCCTGACACCCCTCAACAACACAGAGGGAAAGAGATGCTGCTAATTTTTGTCATTTGAATACCCCAATGAGAAGGTCTTACCTTACTGAGAAGGTCTTACCCCTCCAAGGTCTTACTCCTCCAAATTCAAGAGATCAGAACTTGAAGGAGCTAGAGAGGGAACAGGAAAGCTCATGACAAGTGGTGAAAGAGAATCAAAGCAGTCGGAGCCTTCCTTCAAGTTTGATAGCTGATCTGGACCAGTAAATTGTGATGATCAGAGAAGAGGTTTAGGAGGAATTTCACGCAGTTGGAAGTTTAATATTTAATTAACTTGAAACTGTGGGAAAAATATATCATGGTCCTGATGTCAGAGCTATCTGACATGGGGGAATGCAAATGAGTGCTTGTTTGAAGGCAAAAATCGAGAACAAAATGAATCCAAGGAATTCAGAAATGAGACGCCCTCCTAGTTACGTGTAATACATTTCATGGACTAAGTACAAAACATGCAGAGTTCAGGTAAATCATAATTTGATTTCTTAAAAACAGAAACCCGACTGAACCACGGAAGTGTTGGCTGGAGGGGACCTGTAGAGGCATCTAGCCCAACCTGGAAATGGGATCGTTGCTCGCTTGGATCATGTCAACCATGACTTTCTCAACCCAGCTTTTAATTTCTCCAAAACAGAGGTCCCGCAGCTTCTCTGGGCACGCCATTCCACTTCTGCACCACCTTCCTAAGGACTCTTTTTCCTCCCCAATACCAAGCTGAATCTCCCAAACTGTGACCATTGCCCTTTCTCATGGCACTAGCAAGGGTTGGGCGCTGCAGTCTTTGTGGGGTTACTTAATATTTCTGTGTCTGCAGCGCTCAAATTACTGATTAATCCATCTCCTTCACAAGATATGTGGGTCTTTCAAAATCATCTCTTCAGAGGATTTGACTGCAGACTGCCACACCATACTCCAGCCAGTAAATTATATCGATTGGGAGCATTGTAATGCCTTCTGTGTCTGTAAGATATTTGAGCTAGGTGTTATTGGGGAAGGTTTTGTTATTGCTTCTATTGCACCTTGGAAATATTCATGGCAGTCTGCTCGGAAAAAAGGGATCTGCTTCAGGAACTGATGATGCTTCCAAGTCAGTGATCCTTAAGTGGAAGCCTGGATTGTTTTGCTCTGGATCGTAAATGTTTGTGTTGACTGACTTCAGCAGAGGCTTTTCCTCTGTAGTTGCCTTTAATGTTGCCACGTGAAGGCAGAATTAAGAAAATTGCAGATAATGGTGGGTATGATAACTGAAAAGATACCAGGGTGAGATCTGCGTTCAGCCACACCACCCTCCGAAAAGTAAAACCTTGTGGTTTCTTTGTTAAATGCCTTAGTGTGATGTTGTTCGTTGTCACTCAAGATACGGGTTATTTAGGGTTCATTAGCAGACAGAATACTTGTGACTTGACATGGCATTTTTTGGTAAGCCTGGTCTATTTGAGCCGTGCTGAAACGAGCACTGACTGACAGCTGAATGTAGGGAAGTCATTAAAAAAAAAAAATATTTTGTGGTATTAGTGGCTGTCATGGGAAATGCTTCCCCCCCCCCCCCC